ATTTTGTAATTTATATATATATATATATATATATATAAATTACAAAATCTTTCATACAAACTTTCCAATATTACTACAGTTAATTACATCTGTCTACATGTAATTAACAATCTAAATTAAAAATTACTCTGATTTTCAAATCAGGCTAATGCTAAGCTTGTTAGAACTGTCATTTGTACTAACCATACTGACATGGAAAACTAGTTTTACGAGTACAGTTTTTAATACTAGTAAAAAAATTACTGCATATGTAAAAACAAATATATCTTTTTGGTATAAAATATTTATAAAAAAGAATTGTGCATACGAAAGAGTTATGAGAAGATATGCTACGCTAACTCTTTGTGAATTTTTTTTTATACAAAGATTCATCACCGTTGTCCATAAGTACTAATTACTTCTTTTCTTATGTTTATGGTACAAAGGCACTCGTAGAATATTATTAAGCTATTTAATGATTCAGATCTCCTTCGTTAACTTTGGCAACGATTCTTAAAAGAAATGAAGTACGTAACCTAATGGAATTACCGTAGTAAGTAATAGCAGTAGTAAACTCCCATGATCCTTAGGCGCTGAGTTACACCCATCCTTACTATTGCAAGTACAATATTCCAGAAATATGTTATAAGTTCCAGTTCTCATTAGACAAAAGCGTTCATCTCCTGCTATTCCTGGCTCACCCATGTAAGCGCAACTGCGAAAGTATCTCCATTCACCGTGGACTACATATCAAATATAAAAATAAAAGAAAAGGAAAATGATATGGTTTAAGGTAGAAGTAAGTATTCTAACATGTGATTCACCTTTTTGACGTATTTTACGACACATGGTAGGTCGTACACCCTTCAGATGTTCCAAATCTGGTTCTTGCTTACAATCTGTGATTGGCACTGTTGAATTATCAAAAGGATCTGCACATTTTGGATCAGAATCAGACCTGCACACCCAACATTTTATGGAATAACCTAAAAAAAATTTAAATATACGTATTATTTATGAGTTGATAATTCATATAAGAAAATAAAAATAAAAGTGTTTCATAAATACACATTTAATTAATTAATAGTGACACATTTATAGGTTATATTTTAAGTAAAAAGTATAAATATTCTTTAGCCTAATTTAACTTTACCTTGTTCGATGCAACAAATTAGAATAACTAGCACTGCAGTCAAGCGAATTAGATTTATCGAAGTCATTCCGAATTAAATAATAAAACATTCACACAAAACAATCACGAAACTGACGCCCTAATGTACACGCCTTCAACTAACGACGCTACAGGTGAAGTACACATAAAATTCTGCAGGGGTCGTTAAAATTTTAGAATTTTATTAGTATTTGAATAAAAAAATTAAGTAATATCATACTCTTGAAAAATCATTAATTTACTTTTAAGTAAAATTGGTGTCACAACTATTAAAACTATCATTTATTCATACAAAATATTAATAAATAAAATAACAAGAATATAAACGGGGAATTGATAGTTAAAGCTACATCAATGACTCGATCGTGTTACTTCGGTTGGAATCGAGTCACGTGGTTATTACGAAGTAGAGCCGCGCCCGACAAGCGCTTAATTTCATTGCACGGTGTTCGTAAGAAACAAGGAAGGAGAAGTGAAGAGAAAAAGGAAAAAAATGCGAGGAACGCAATTAAAAACACATTAATTAGTAAAGGAGAAAAAAACTTAGGTCAAAGATTTGACATAATATAAAATCAAATAATTATTACTTACTTATATAACATTTTTAAAATTTTATTGAAAACAACAGGAAACTATATAAATTTTAATTTATCAATATTAATTAATAAAAGAAAAGAATTATTTTGATTATTTTATATATTCGAGAGACAAGAAGTAAAAATGTTCAAAAAAAAGAATTGAAGAAGAGTGTGTTTTCTGTTTGCTCTAGAAGAGTGAGAGTCAAGAGAGGAAAAGAGAAAGAGAGAGGGTCAATCTTGTGCAGCGGAGGAGAATCGAACGCAGGTTTCGCGGGTGGTCCATCCTTGGAAAGGAGGCACGGTCTGGGAGCTGGGGAAACATTTGAATGCTATAAATAAATATAAATAAATTGATTTGCCGGCATATTAGCATAAGTAGCAGGGGGAAGAAGAGAGGTTACTGAGATCGTTGGGCTCGCGCTTCTCTCTGTGCTTTTATATCTCTCTCACCCTCTTTCCTTCTTTCCCTCATTCTGTCCCTCTCTCTCTCTCTCTCTCTCTCTCTCTCTCTCTCTCTCTTCGTCTTCCCCTACTTTCTTACCGGCAAAAGTTGCGGACAGTGATTTATACACGATGTCCTTTAGGCCGGCGCGGCATTCAAGCGACCAAGAGTCGTTCCTTTAACTTAAAAGGATGCAAGGACTACGAAGGATACGGACGGGCGTCTGTCTCATCTCTCGAAGTCACGCGCGTGGGAATTAATTCCTCGATTCGATGGGGATGGAAAGAACTCCAAGGGGATGCTCCAAAAAGAAAGACACAAACAAAGATAGAATCAGTCTTTTTCTGTTTCTATTTTTTTCTTCCTCTCTCTTTTACATTCTTGTTTTTGCCCGTTGTATCGATAAAACGGAACAAGTACGCGGCATGTAACAAGACAAAGAAACAGCGCGAAAAGCAAACTCGAAGGTTAACTCGCTTAAAGCTATTACTCCGTAAATCGTTTATTTTAATATAATATAATTGCACATGTATCTAGTTTGCTTTACAATTTTCCTCCGTCTTCCACCCTTTTTTTTTCTTCATCAAGTCCTTCGCGTTGTCATTATCATCTTACCGAACTATCGATGCGTAAAAGTAATACTTCGTGCTGCTTCGTAGACCAAGCGTGAACAATTCTAACGTTGTTGTTTGAGATAAAGCGTTAGATATAATATGCATATATACAATAGATGGATAGGATGGTTAACGAAATGATCGTTTCATCGACATTGACTTCCTTCGAACGTGATTAAAATCGTCAGAAGAGTATATGCAATACTTGTTTGTTCTCGTTTGTAAAATAACACGATGATTATATAGAAATACTTACGAGTTTTTTTTATATTTTTGTTCTCTATTAAGATTAAACACGTTTATTATGCAAGCTTAGGAACTACGTCAATTTATAGGGACGAAAAGAGTCACGTAAAAAGGTACAATTTTTCTTTCGATATTTATTATTAAGCTCCTCGAACGTGCTTTTTTATATATATATTAAATTTATTACTTTGATAAAAGTCGAAAGCGATAACGGATCTTTCCACGATTAGATACACCTGCGTTCCGTTACGCGTGACTAATAATACAAGCACATACGAATGCGAATGATTACAATTATTTATTACACAGATAACTGTGGTAATTGAAAGGATACGTATCGACGAATACAGGGATTTTATTAAAGGGAAAGGGCAAAGGATAGATATATATTATAGAATATATACAAGCGTACGCGAACGTAATAACTAGTTAAGAATAAAGTAGCGTGATCGTCTTAGCGTTCGAAATGATGGGTAAATGATTTAAAATGTCCTCACACAAGAATACAGTTTTATAAACCGATATCGGTTCGGTCCGCCTCCGAACTGCTTTCGAATGCAACCGTATCGTTTCGTGAATCAGCACACCACTTAGGCTCGAAAAACGGCTCTCGTTTCACGAACAAAATCACCGGCCCTTAAGAGGCGTGTACCGGTCCTTATTTTTTTCCAAAAAGCGGGTAATTTCGTGCAATCTTCTACGAGACCGAGGCGTGGCTCGACCACAGGGATATTCCGGTAGGTAACTACACTGTCTACGTGTGTGTGTGTGTGTGTCATTAACCGAATCCTTCGAATGACCCCGCTTTGTCCTTCCATTCTTCATTTCTTCCAGAAACGAAGAAATTTGAAATGTTACACGTGGCTCTCATTTTCAATAGTGGTCACATTTAAAATACGCTATACAAGTCTAATAAGTGAATAACGTAAAAAGATTTCTAGTAACTCGCTTACCGTTTATACGTAATAGATATATAATTTCAACGACTTCCAAGTAAACGGCCATTTTTTCGCTTGTTTGTTTCATTTTCTCTAATTACTGCATCAATTGAAAACGTGATAACTGCGTAGAAGAAATTCGTAATCGAGACGAGACGCTGAGTCTGAGGCGAACGATCGTCCATTCGTTCGGAGTGTGTGCGCGAGGAGGAAGAAATAAGAAAAAGAAAAAAAAAGGAATAGAAAAAAGGTCAAGTCAAGGAGCGCAAAAAGAATACGTTGACAGAATGAAATGTTTGTCTGGCGATTCTTACAAGCTGGGATGGGAACTAAAGTTAGACGTCATCGAACGATCGCCTCAGTTATTTCTAGAGACGCTGTCACGTAAGTAAGTAAGTAAGTAAGTAAGTAAGTAAGTATATTTCTTCGCTAGGTTTCTCACATATCTTTTATTGTCATTCAAAAGGAGGAGGAGGGGAGCTGCGAGTTCGAGTGACCCAGATCGTCGTTCAGTCGTATTAAAAACGATGAAGGTTCGCGTGGGGTCATAAGATGTGTTGTGCTTGATTCGTGACATCGATTGTTAGATCATTTGTTATCCAAATGTTTAATCATATTTTACAAAGATAATATACTCTTTGTTTCTTTTTGCATCGATTTTTGGCGATTCACAATTGAATATAATTGAACGATGTAGTCATCGAGTTAGATCAGATCGATTCTACGTATTTATTATCAAGTTATTGATTCTATCAAAGGAATCCTTAGAATTTCGAGAGCGAGGGAGAGAGAAAGAGAGAGAGAGAGAGAGGAAGAGAGAAAAAAAAGAAAAGAAGGAAGAGGAAAGCTCGATGAAGAGCGCGTGTCGCACGAGTACCCTATCGATACCCCACCAACCGAAGAGACTCGCCGGTAGAATCACCCTCCGCTTCTGTAGCTGACTCGTATAGGACGTCGGCAGCCAACAGCTAACAGTCAGCAGCAGCAGCAGCAGCAGCAATAGCAGCCACTCCTCTCAGCAACCTCCGTTGATACTTACCCGCGCGTGTATCTCGTCAGTCGGCTCGGAGCCACGTGCGTGTGCTCGAGAGTGGCTCTCGTCGTGACGTTCGAGTCTTCTACGAGCCTACTCGACCCTCTTCTCCTCCTTCTCCTCCTCCCCTTCTTCCTTCTCCTCTTTTTTTCATCTCTTTATTTTCTTTTCCGATTTTTTTTCCCCATCCCTTTTTTTCTCTTCTCATTTTCCCTTCATTCGATCTTTTCTTTTTCTTTCATTTCCAGTTACTCTCCACAGTTCTCGTTTAAAACATCGTCTGTCCTGTGCCACCCCGACGAACGATTTTGTCTTCTTCTTCTTCTTCCTGGTCCTCTTCTTTCTATTTTTATCTTTTCCACAATCAACAATCAGTGACTTTCAATGGTTCAACGCGTATCTTCAAGTAAAATACTCCAGCAAAACCATTCGGAGATTCCCACGTTTCTTTGGAAACAACCATGAAGAAAATGTATAAGGAATCATTGAAATTTTGGTGAAAACCACTTTGGATAAAAGATACTTCTCGGAGGTTAATTCTTCGAGGGACACGGAGTCTCTCGAGCAGATGGTGTCGGTCGAAAGGGACTAAAAATATCAGCCGGTTCCGCGGTCGCAACGCGAGTATCTTTTCTCATCTTCCTTTTCTACTCTTCACTGGAGGATTTCACTGTGACTGGAAGAAGAGAAAAAAAAACTACATGGTATCCTGACTATTTTCTCTCTCTCTTTTTCTCTTTCTGTCTCTGTCTGCTTGCCTTTGATCTTACTTAAGCGCGAGTGTGTAACACAAGGGAGGAAGAAGAAGAAACGAATCCAGGAAGTAAGGAATACGTCGCGAGTCAACGAAATTCAATGACTGAAGGTCTTTCATGAGAAATTAGTTCGTTCTATTCAAGGAAGATTCGTCGTTTTGTTAGTGCGTCAGTTCAGATAACGTCTGTCTATCTTAAACCGTCTTATACAACATGACTCGGATCAAATATTCGATTTACGTATTCTACAATACCGTAGTCAAACTTTGATGAGAAAAAAAGAAGTTCGCTTATCAGGTAATTAACCTTGATCTATTAACATACTTTTTCTTTTTTCTTTTTAGGCAAAATAAATATTGAAAGTAAACAGAGTTAAGTTATGAAGAAATCATTTGCCGTGTTTATTTATAATCTAAGCAGGTTTGATATCGCAACTGGGGTCTGTTGTGCTTTTAGTGATACCAAAGCTAGAAAGAGAGAAGTTTGCTGCCCTTCTCGCGTTACTTTTACTTCTACTTCTTCCTTCTCCTTTTTCTCTTCTTCTTCTTCTTCTTCGCGGTACAGTGTTTTACGGCAGGGAGGCGGTTGTTTGAAATTCTTCTGGTGGAGTTGCGCGTCCGTATTTATAGAGCCGCACCGCGTGTCGAGGCGGTACGTAGGGCCGCGCACGCGGAGGCACGCGGAGGTTCACTGATGTGAGAGGGTAGAAGTAGAAGTAGAAGAAGAAGAAGAAGAAGGAAGGAGAAGAAGAAGTTCAGAAGAAGATCAGAAGAAAAAGAAGAAGAAGAATAAGAAGAAGCAGAAGAAGTAGCTTTGAAGAAAGGGAAGAAGAAGAGTAGGAGGGAAAGGAGAAGGAGGAAGAGGAGGAGGAGGAGAGAAAAGACAAAGCGTGTGCGCGACACGTCGCGATCATGACGCGATGCGTCCGCGACGGAAGCACGCGCCCGCTTCGACGACGTGCTCGCCCACCGCGAGATCCTCCAAGCTGTTATCCTCTTGGTCCTCAGCTATGATCAACAGGATCACGCTCGTTCTACTTCCGTTCTTCCTCATCTCCTCGAGCTACTCACTCGAGGATACTTCGGTAAGTTCCTTCTTCGGATTTTTTTCATTTATTCATCATTTTCATTTAATATTTATCCTTCGAATAATTTATTCGATTATTTTTCGTAATATTAACGATATGTCAAATTAATTTTTAATATATTACACATTGTCTCTCTCGAATGTTTTCGTAATTTGTTGAATTGATACTTTTGAGAAATACGTTTGTCTCGTATAATCATGTGACATAATGTGACAACGATGTTACGACTTTGAATATATGATAGGATCCCAAAGGATTAAAATAAACGCGAGTCTACAAGGTCGACCGTCTGCTTGTCTGACGCATTCAATCATTTTCTACAAATCTTTCGTGAACTTTTTCTCCCTCTCCTCCTCTCTCACTCTTTTTCTTTCTCTCTTTCTTTTTATTTTTCTTTCATCCACAAATAGATCTCGACAAAGTTCATTCTAAAAAAAATCATCTATGTATATATCATTGAAGTACGTGAGTAAAAGTTTCTGTAGTAATGGGAAGAAAAAAAACGATCAGGAGGCGTTAGGTAACACTTGGTTATCGCGTGCAAAGTCGGTCTAACTCTTCTAGCAGTTAGATCAGGAAGAGTTCCGCGTCGAGGTACAATACTATGGGAGTCGATAATTCTCAAGATCGTGGGGCAAGTTTCGCACACCATAACCGCGAGCAAGGAATATCTCGGTGTCGTGTTACCATAGAGTACTTTCTTTGCTCGATCGGTTTCGTTGATATAATCTATTTAATACGTCACTAAAGATATTCGATTATCATCGATAACAATTAATTATCAACTAATATATATAATATATATTAAAATATATTTAACAATTAAACGATAAAATGATGAAAGTGAAACAATTTCCTAATATCACCTTACCTAATATCAAAGTTATGAAATTTCAAGAAATAGAAAACACACACACACACATTATCGTAGAAATCTAACACTATCATTATGTTAATCTGATTAGAATTTTATCATGAGATTAATTTTTATTATCGATAAAATATCTTTGAAAAATTTAAAGAAACCAGGAAGAGAGTTTTGAGACATTTTGTAAGATATGAAAAATATGATATAATATGACTATTTGAAAGTAGAGATAAAAGACAACCTTGGTTTCATCTTCTTTTTGCTTTTAGGTCTAGGCATGCCAAGGTAATTACAGTAATTTTGTTTCTCAGCCATTCTCAAATTCCACCACGAATGATCTTGTTGGACGTCCCCCTTATGTTAGAGAGAAAGCACTAATATTCTAAGCACACGTGCTCTGTCGTCTTCGTCTTCGTCTTCGTTGTCGTAGTCTTTGTTGTTACGAGCTTTGAGCCTTGCTGAAAGCCAATAATATTGTCAGATGTTATCATCGTAATCACTTAACGAGCACGCTTTACTTTTCTAAATTGTACGTAATGCGGTACGATGTCGGTGTAAAGTGTCGACGTTTCGTAAACTGCTTTCTCAGGGAGGTCGACACTAATCACCGTAATTTCCTCCTCGTCGCCAACAACCATACCATAATTATGTCGAAATCTTTTAATCTTGATTTCATTTTAAATAACCAAATTCATCTTACCTACCCATCTGTATATATATATACATAAAAACATGCACAAGTGTATATGCATACGTGTATCGTATTTCTCAACGATAGGATGCAAAATAAATGTGACGTTTCTCGAATAAAAACGAAAACGCTCGAAATTGCCTGACGTGAGACTAACTACTCACTCTCTCTCTTTCTGTCTCTTTCTTTCTCTTGAAAAATTAGCCTGTATTTTTTCTCTCGAGTCTGCTAATTTGTACGTGAGATAAGATAACTAAGGTGTGTTGTTGCAGCATAAAAGTAAAGTTAAGAAAAAAATAAAAAAAAATAAAAAAAAGTAGAATGAAAGAAGAGAAGAGAAGAGAAGAGAAGAGAAGAGAAGAGAAGAGAAGAGAAGAGAAGAGAAGAGAAGAGAAGGAGAAGTTTGTGGCGGAGAAGAGGGCTTTATATTTAGTCTCTCAGCTGTCACGTGCCTCTTCACTTACGTACAGGACGCGTGTTAAGCGTGAGCATATCGTATCGTTCGTGTTCGGCTTTACGGCAAATCAAAAATATGTAAGATTATTCCGGGCGAGGGGTTATCGGACTTGCAAACATATACGAAAAAAACCTACACATACATACAAACACACGTAAGAATATACACTTCTCGAAGCTCGATCGCGACCAGCTGGTAAGGATCGATAATGGATGCCATCCTGTTCGTTCGACGAAAAGGTTCTCGAGAGGACAGAAAAGGGCAAACGATATGTAAGAAAGGAAGAGAAAATAAAAAGTCTAGTGGAAAGGATCAAACGATAAAAGAAGAATAGAGGAATAGATTGTCCTTCTTATCTGTTTTCCTTCCTTATCGGAAATCGACGACTGTTTAATAAGACGATTTGTGGTACAAATCTCTAAGAGATAGCCTTTGCATTTTTTCAATATCCGCAGAATGTTTCAACATTTATATCCCCTTTCTTTCTGTTTTGTTTATTTTCTTTCTTATCTCAAATCTACCTATTCTCTTAAATGTTGCCACTTTCCTGATTTAAAGTACGTCGAAATTTGTATCTATACTTTTACAAGACGTTCATTGTTATTTGCACGTTATCGTAAGTTAATTAGTTAACTCGGTAATAAATTCATTACGAAAGTACCTTTAACAATATACCTTGGTCTCCAATAGTTCAGCTTAAAGTCAATAAATAACATCAGAGAAGTGAAATAGAAAGAGAGAAAGAGAAAGAGAAAGATATATATATCGAAAGAAAAAGGAAGGAGCGTGTTCGTCCATTCACGCGTAATTTTACGCGACGCGAACGTCACGAGACTTGGGAGTTGATTCACGAGAAAGAGGAAGGTGGTGTAGGCGAAATAGTGGGGGAAATATGTGTCTCTGATTTCTACGCTACGGTAAAACGATCACGGTGAGGCGTCCCGCGGTGAGTTGAGTATCCAGGCTTGGCGAATCGTTCGACCAAGTCTAACATAAGTAGTTTCAGGGAACTTGTTTTCTCCTTATATTTCATACATTTCTTTTTTATTATTATCTTTTAAACGACGTATAAAACATTTTCAATGGTGATCATTTACTAATTAATAGGATTTTTGGTTGATAATTGAATAGAAGGAAAAAAAGAGAAAGAAAAATAAAAAAAATAAAAGAGAGACATGATATATCTTAATCAAAGAAGGAAGAAACCAAGAAGAGAGGGACAACTTTCTATGGTCTCTTGAGAATCTTTTACGTCTGACCTCGAAGCATGTCTTCTCTCTTTGCGCGCTCGGCACCCCGTGGAGAAAACTTCCCGTCACGGAGTGGTCCTCCTCGCGGATGCTGTTGCTGCTGCTTCTGTTGCTCTTGCTCTTGCTTTTGCTGGCTGGACCGTACCGTTCTTCGATTACCGTCGAGAATCGTGCTTGTCGGTATAAGTTAGACCACGAGAGTACAGATATATTCAATGAGAGATAGATAGATAGATAAATAAATTGAAATAAATAGAAATAAAAAGAGAAAGATAAGCAGGTATACACGTTAAATGGGTTTCCCTTTTGTAAGGAAGCATAATAATCAAAATGAACATACAAATTATGATTGTATTATATAATATTTTATGGAAATAATCAAGTTTAGAATTCATTTAACAACATTTATCATTTTCTTTACTTTCACTTACCGTTAAGTCGATAATTTTTTACTTGTAATTTCCGATCGTTTTATTATCAAATCTTTCCGCATACTGTCCTTCCGTTCTATATCAAGCCTTTCTATATCACTCTAAAGCACATTTTCGATTAAGTTAGATTTATATTTGAGCCATTCACTGCACAATTCAATTAACATCACTTTCTGAAAAATTTTAAATTTAAGTGCAAAAGCACTTGGTATAATCATAATTTTGTATATTTATACATAAATCCCAAACATAAAAGGTTAACACCATTAAAAGACAATTTTTTTTTATCACTGAATAATAAATAATTTATTTCAGAGGGGTCATTTTGATTAACTCCGTACTTTAATGGAAATCGTTGCAGTAATGCAACTCAAATGCACTACATTTGTATTCATGCATTCTACAAAATTTATTTGAATTTATATTATAAAAGGAATTTTAAAAACCAATGCACATTGTTTTATCGCATTTCTTCACTTTTTGTTTTATAGAGTTAATCGTTTTGTGCAATGATTGGCTCATTTCTTTATTGGTTTAAACTAGCTTGAAAAAAAAGGATTAGAAGGAATCATTTGTTTCTTATTTACCTTAATAAATCATTAGTCGTTTAGGAATGTTTGAATCAACAGCTCTCACCCCCATCGCTTACATAAACATATACGCGCATACTACGAAACTATGAAATCTTCCACTTTCTATCGGCTTCCTTGAATGTTCCGGCAATTAGCCTGCGATCAGTAAAATGCACTTTAACCTTAACGATTTCACCTGGTAGATATTATTTGTAACGAATTCAACTTCTCAATGGAATCACATAAATCTGTCGAGTTTCTACTGGTACTTTTCTATACAGGATAAAACCATAAAGAGAGTAATATCTCTGAACGTTGACTTTCTCTATCTAAGGAATGAAATGAATCGTCGATATTATAGAATTTTTGCTGTACTTCGAACTATCCGTTTCTCTAGTCTGTCATGTAGAATTTGTAAGGCAGTACCACAGGGACCGAAGTATGTTTAACAGCGGAGATTACATTTCCCAAGAAGCCAGTACCTTGTTACTCCTTAAAAGATGACTAAACGATAAGCTCGTCTTTCCATCCTTGGCGAGAAGAGAAACAAAGAAAGAAAGAAAGAGAGATAAAGAGAGAGAGAGAGAGAGAGAGAGAGAGAGAGAGAGAGAGAGAGAGAGAGAGAGAGAGAGAGAAAGAGATAGAAAAAGCACGCTATAATTTATCTTTTTTTCTGTTTGCACGAGGCCGAAAACGAGAAGGACGCGAGTGGACCTTCCATGGCACCC